ATCTCACTCATGAACATCGATGCAAAAATCCTCAACAAAATACTGGCAAACCGAATCCAAGAACACATTAGGAAAATTATCCATTATGATCAAGTAGGCTTCATCCCAGGGATGCAGGGCTGGTTCAACATACGAAAATCTATCAATGTAATCCAGCCTATAAATAAACTGAAAGAAAAAAACCATATGATCATTTCATTAGATGCTGAAAAAGCATTTGACAAAATTCAACACCCCTTTATGATAAAAGTATTGGAGAGATTAGGGATACAAGGGTCATACCTAAATATAATAAAAGCTATATACAGCAAGCCGACAGCTAACATTAAATTAAATGGAGAGAAACTTAAAGCCATCCCACTAAACTCAGGAACACGACAAGGCTGTCCACTCTCACCATACCTCTTCAATATAGTACTTGAAGTTCTAGCAATAGCAATAAGACAACATAAGGGGATCAAAGGGATTCGAATTGGAAAGGAAGAAGTTAAACTTTCGTTATTTGCAGATGATATGATAGTGTACATAAGCGACCCCCAAAACTCCACCAAAGAACTTTTACAGCTGATAAACACCTTTAGTAACGTGGCAGGATACAAGATCAACTCCAAAAAATCAGTCGCCCTCTTATACACAAAGGATATGGAAGCAGAGAGGGAAATCAGAGAAGCTTCACCTTTCACAATAGCCACAAACAGCATAAAATATCTTGGGGTAACTCTAACCAAGGAAGTGAAAGATCTATTGGACAAGAACTTTAAGGCATTGAAGAAAGAAATTGAGGAGTATACCAGAAAATGGAAGGACCTTCTTTGCTCTTGGATTGGGAGGATCAACATAGTAAAAATGGCAATTCTACCAAAGGCAATTTATAGATTCAATGCAGTCCCCATCAGGGTCCCATCAAAATTCTTCACAGATCTTGAGAGGACAATAATCAACTTTATATGGAAAAACAAAAAAACCCAGGATAGCCAAAACAATCCTATACAATAAAGGATTGTCTGGAGGCATTACCATCCCTGACTTCAAACTCTATTACAGAGCTACAGTGATGAAAACAGTGTGGTACTGGCATAAAAACAGAGAAGTTGACCAATGGAATCGTATAGAAGACCCGAATTTTAACCCACAAACCTATGAACACCTCATTTTTGATAAAGGAGCCAAAAGTATACAATGGAAGAAAGAAAGCATTTTTAACAAATGGTGCTGGCATAACTGGATGTCAACCTGTAGAAGAATGAAAATAGACCCATATCTATCATCATGCACAAAACTCAAGTCCAAATGGATTAAAGACCTCACTATCAGTCAGAACACAGTGAACCTGATAGAAGAGAAAGTGGGAAGTACCCTACAGGAGATGGGCACAGGAGATCGCTTCCTATGTGTAACCCCAACAGCACAGACTTTAAGGGCAACATTGAATAAATGGGACCTACTAAAACTGAGAAGCTTCTGTAAAGCAAAGGACACTGTCACCAAGACAAATAGGCCACCTACTGACTGGGAGAAGATCTTCACCAACCCCGCAACAGACAAAGGTCTGATCTCCAAAATATATAGAGAACTCAGGAAACTAGACTTTAAAATGCTAATTAACCCAATTAAAAAATGGGGCACTGAACTGAACAGAGAATTCTCAGCAGAGGAAGTTCAAATGGCCAAAAGACACTTAAGGTCATGCTCAACCTCCTTAGCAATCAGGGAAATGCAAATCAAAACAACTTTGAGATATCATCTTACACCTGTCAGAATGGCTAAAATAAAAAACTCCAATGATAGCCTTTGCTGGAGAGGCTGTGGAGGAAGGGGTACCCTCATCCATTGCTGGTGGGAATGCAATCTTGTGCAACCACTTTGGAAATCGGTGTTTCGGTTTCTCAGGAAATTCGGGATCAACTTACCCCTGGACCCAGCAATACCACTCCTGGGAATATACCCAAGAGATGCCCTATCACATGACAAGAGCATTTGTTCAACTATGTTCATAGCAGTATTATTTGTAATAGCCAGAACCTGGAAACAACTTGATGCCCTTCAATGGAAGAATGGATGAAGAAAGTGTGGAATATCTACACATTAGAGTACTATGCTGCGTTAAAAAACAATGACTTCTCAAATTTTGCATGCAAATGGATGGAAATAGAAAACACTATCCTGAGTGAGGTATCCCAGACCCAAAAAGATGAACATGGGATGTACTCACTCATAATTGGTTTCTAGCCATAAACAAGGGTCACGGAGTCTACACTTGGTGATCCCAAAGAAGCTAAGTAAGAAGGTGAACCAAAGGAAAACCATATAGTTGTCCTCTTGGCTATGGGAAGTAGACAAAATTGCCGGGGAGAAAATTGAGATCTTGGGGGTGGGGTGGGATGGGGGTAAGGGGAGATGGGGAGAGAGGGGGGAGAGGGGGAGAATGGGGGGAGCTTGGGGAAGGGGGAGGATTGGGATGAAGGAAGGTTGGATGGGGGAGCACGGAAGCACGGTTCTTAGTTAAGGGAGCCACCTTAGGGTTGGCAAGAGACTTGAACCTAGAGTGGCTCCCAGATACCCAAGCCGAGGTCCCCAGTTAGTTCCTTGGGCAGCTGAGGATGGGGAACCTGAAATGACCCTATCCTAGAGCGATATTGACGAATATCTTGCATATCATCATAGAACCTTCATCGGGTGATGGATGGAGACAGAGACAGAGACCCACACTGGAGCACTGGACTGAGCTCCCAAGGTCCCGATGAGGAGCAGAAGGAGGGAGAACATGAGCAAAGAAGTCGGGACCACGAGGGGAGCACCCACCCACTGAGACAGTGGAGCTGATCTATTGGGAGCTCACCAAGGCCAGCTGAACTGTGACTGAAAAAGCATGGGACAAAACTGGACTCTCTGAGCATGGCGAACAATGAGGGCTGATGAGAACCCAAGGACAATGGCACGAGGTTTTGAACCTACGTAATGTGCTGGCTTTGTGGGAGCCTAGCCAGTTTGGATGTTCACCTTCCTAGAAATGCACGGAGCGGGGAGGACCTAGGACTTACCACAGGGCAGGGAAATCTGACTGCTCTTTGGGCTGGAGAGGGAGGGGGAGAGGAGTGGGGGGAGGGGGAGAAGGGTGGGAGGAGGGGGAGGGAAATGGGAGGCTGGGAGGAGGAGGAAATTTTTTTTTTCTTTTCTCAATAAAAAAAAGTTAAAATAAAAAAAAATAAAAAAAAAAGAATTGCCTTGTTTGACCGGGAGTGGTGGCACATGCCTTTATAAACCCAGCACTCAGGAAGTAGAGTCATGGGTATCTCTGTGAGTTTGAGGCCAGCCTGATCTACAGATCGAGTTCCAGGACAGGCTCCATAGGTTCTGGGAAACCCTGTCTCAAAAAAAAATAGAAAAGAAAAATAAGAACAAAATTGGACCACTAGGGATGAAGAGATAGCTCAGTGGTCGAGAGTACTTACAGCTCTTGCAGAGGATATGAGTTAGGTTCCCAGCATCCACATCATACACATTGTATGGCTCAAAACCACCTGTATTCCAGCTCCAGGAGGATCTGACACCCACAACCTCTTTGGGCATGTGTACTCACTTATACGAGCCCACACACATACATATAAGCTTAAAATAATAAAGATAAATTGTAGAAATAAAAGAGACTCGGATCAATGTTCCAGGTGTTAGACACCACAACAGACAGAGTTGGAACTCCACCTCCTTTCTCTGAGTTCTCAACAATCCAATGCAAAATGTTCTAACTATCTTCTTCTATTCTGGAAACCAGGTTATATTTGCTTAATCCACTGTTTACCAAGACTTCTACATAGATAGCCCAGGCTAGCCTTGATCATGTAACATGAATCACCACACTTGGTTTAGAAATACTTTTGTTTTATTTTGTTTTGTTTTTCTTTTCTGAGACAGGGAGGGAGGGAGGGAGGGAAGGAGGGAGGGAGGGAGGGAGGGAGGGAGGGAGGGAGGGGAAAAAGAAGAGGTGGCTCTAATGGCAGCAGCAGGAGGAAGAAGGCCTGAGGTGTAATCTCAGCAGTGCTCACACAAAACAACTGAACCAAAACAAAGTGGCCCAGAACACACACACAGAAAGAGAGAGAGAGAGAGAGAGAGAGAGAGAGAGAGAGAGAGAGAGAGAGAAGTCCCTTCTTTTAAAAGCAGTTCAGGCTTGGAAACCTAAAGCAGAGGACTCTCTACTCGCCTACACCCCAAACATAAATACCCCACCAAGCAGCTGTCAAGAGAACCCAGAGCTCACATGAATGGTTGCTAGCAAGCCTCACCCTGTTCCTGACCTCCATTCAAGCCACTCTTTTTTCACACCACTCCTTATAACCTGCAGCCAACTGCAACCCCTCATACCATAGGCTTATTGGGAACCAGAGCTAGAAAGAAAAAGATCATCTAAATGTCAGAATACCCAGGCTGAAAGTCCTACAGAACAGAAGGCTAGAGCCTAAATTATGGTAATTTATGGAGTAATGAAACCAGCTAGGCCACCTACATGATCATAAAACACAGCATGAATGTCAGCACACTTGTGCGGTTTAAGGTGTGTTAAGCTATAAAAGGTACAGAAGAAAACTGAACGAGGCAGTAAGTATCCCGTCAAAACACAGGATAAAAAAAATGCTAAAGAAACAGTACACAGTTCTCTTACTAGAAGCTTCACTGAGCTAAAATGCCCACCCTGAGCTTAAAGTGGGGGCTTATGACTATGTTCTCAGCACATGGAATGTTGGAGAATCAGAAATTCGAGGTCAGCCTGGGCTATGTGAGACCCTGTAGCTCAACGAGTAAAAGTACTTGTCACATATCCTTACAACTTGATTTTGACAGGTGAAACCAACCTAAAGGTAGGAGAGAATGAATCCATCCACAAAATTGTCCTCTGAACTCTACACATAGGTCATGGCAGAAGCGCGCACACACACATGCACACTCACACACACATGCGTGCACACACACAAATTTTAATATAAAAAACATTAAGCACCAACCTGCTCAGGGTTCACATGACAAAACATAGAAATCTTCTCCTTCACAGCCATCTCAATAGGTTTGGAACTACGGCAGACAATCTGTGAAAGCCAGTTATGCATGGATCAATACATGGAAACAGGGGTGATCAAATTGCCCAATTCATTGTCAGAAAATCCTTTTATTCTTTTTTTTTACAAGACTAGACCAAGTATGTACTTATTCACTCTGGGCATTCCTCTGTAGCATGAAAAATTGGTCTGGCCACTAGCATAAGCATGTCTCACTAAGTTCAACAGAAATCTACCAGGAAGAAAATATCAAAAATGTCTCTGGTGAAGAGTTAAAAGCTCTACAGGGCTGTTTCATGAAACAGAAGAGAAGGTGGATCAGAAGTTAACAAACTTTCACTAAAGGGTCCCACAGGAAACAGTTTAGCTTTCCAGGTAAGGCACTCCGGGTCCTACTATAGACTTGCCAAAACACAGACTATTTCTTTACACAGACTATACGTAAGTAAATAACTGTATGTCCATAAATTTCTATTTATAAAAATAGGCAGCTGTGCCAGGCAGTAGTGGTACACATCTTTAATCCCAGCACTCAGGAGGCAGAGACAGGAGGATTTCTGTGAGTTCGAGGTCAGACTGGTCTGCAAATCAAGTTCCAGGACAGCCAGAGCTCTTACACAGAAAAATACTGTCCTGAAAAAAAAAAGAAGGCAGCTGCTTTGTGGACTCCTAATTCACCCCCCCCACACACACACACAAACACAAAAGATGCTGGCTGTAACTGGATAATCTGATATAGCAACACATGAATGCCTCTTAGACTAAAGCTCAGAGCAAAGATAGCCAGTCGTTGAAGGGACAGATGAAAATCCCAAGGTTTTACATTCGCTCTGAAGGAGCCAGGAACCTTACAAATGACAGAGCATTGTATCTTGTCTGCTATAAAAGGAACCAAATTAAGGATAGAGAAATATTCTTTTCCTGGATGCCAGACACAAAACAGTTTACCGTCATCAGAATCATTTGAGAGGGACAGATGACTCAGATGGTGCGTTAAAGATGAAGGGACTGGGTGTCGTTTAAAGGTAGAAAATACATGCTTAGCATGTGCTCTCGGTTCCATCCCCAGCACCAACACCAAAAAAGGAAATAAACCATTGTTAGTGGCTGTTAGAGCCTGTGACATGGAGGTCCTACTCCAAAAGATCTTAGAGACAAACTTACCCACTGCACTTAACTCACCAGATCTGGAGACAAGCCCAACCCCCTCAGCGAACGGACACTGTTTTGTGTGGGTTTGGTTTTTTGTTCTCCAGTAACACAGAGCTAAAAAGAAATGAGTCCCCATCAGAACAACTGGACAACTTATGGCTCTTGAATTTCAAAGACAGGTCACATAAAATATCAGTGCAAAACTGATCAAAGTTACTATCTGCAGACTTCTGTGGAAACGCTCACCTGTGGTGCAAGGCTGACATGAATATTACAGAAATTTTCCTTTTTTGCTTTAAACTGGAATTGTCGGAATGCTTCCACAAATGCCATTCCTTCGATGTCTCCAATAGTGCCTCCCAGCTGAGGGTGGAAAAGAAAAATAAGGCACAAATAACCAAACAACTTCCATAGCACACAAACCAATGGAATTTTCTTGCTTTTGAAGTTAAGTAATTTTTCTTTAGAAACAGAATCTGACCATATAGTCCTGGCTGACCTGGAACTTTCTATATAGACCAGGATGACTCTGAAGTCAGAGATCTGTCTACCTCTGCCTCCCAAGTGCTGGAATTAAAGGCATATACCACAACGACCAGATAAGAAATTAATTACTTTTGGAAGAGTTTCATACTGTAGCCCAGGGTGGCCTGGACTTCTACATAGATAGCCCAGGCTAGCCTTGATCATGTAACATGAATCACCACACTTGGTTTAGAAATACTTTTGTTTTATTTTGTTTTGTTTTTCTTTTCTGAGACAGGGAGGGAGGGAGGGAGGGAGGGAGGGAGGGAGGGAGGGGAAAAAGAAGAGGTGGCTATAACGGCAGCAGCAGGAGGAAGAAGGCCTGAGGTGTAATCTCAGCAGTGCTCAGGAGGCTGATTGAAGCTGAAATATTGCTGCAAATTCAAGGCCAACCTGGATTACATACTAACGTCAAGGTTAGCTTGAAATACGTTTAGAAACACTGTCTCAATAAATACAAACAGGGACAGTGGCTCAGTCAATATTGACCTCCAGGTAAGTAGGAGGACACGAGTTAGGATTCACAGCAAATGTACAAAGCTGTGCACAGTAGTGTCTGTAACCCCAGCATAGTACATGTCTGTGACCTCACCCCAGAAGGTGGGAACAGAGACAGGCATATTTAGCCAGCCAGTCCAGCCAAATCATTGAGCTACAGGTTCATGAGACCCTGTCTCAAACAATAAGGTGATGGGCAACTGAGGAAGATAACCAGTGTTGAGCCCGGCTTCCACAGGTATTTGAACGCATATGCACACACGTACACACATACAGCACAGATGCACACAAAAATAAGTATAATTTAAAAGACAGACCAGGCACGGTAACTATCACCTTTAATCTCAGGGCTCAGGATAGAAGTTGGTGGGGCAGGTGGATCTCTGTGAGTTCAAGGTCAACATACCAGTTCCAGGCCAGCCAAGGCTACATTGCGTGCTCCTGTCTGGAAAAAAAAAACTAAAGAAAAGTCTGTACTTAAACCAAACTATATGGGAATGTCTGAGAGGATTCTGTCCTTTGTGTTCTTGTGTTGCGGGGACATAATCCAGAGTCTCACATATGTTAAGCAAGTGCTCCACTGCTGAGCTATATGCCCTTAACCCCCTTCTGGTTTTATTTTGGTGTTTGTTAGTGTGGTTTTTGTTTTGTTTTTGAGACAGTGTTTCTTTGTGTTGCGCTGGATGTCACAGAACTAACTCTGTAGATCAATCTGGCCTCGAACTCACAGAGATCCACCTGCCTCTGCTAGGATTAAAGGCCTATACCACCACCACCTGGCTTGTTAATGTGGGTAGGTTTTTTGTTTTGTTTTGTTTTGTTTTGGGGTTTTTTTGTTTTGTTTTGTTTTGTTTTGCGGGGGAGGTAGTTTTTTGGGACAGAGTCTGACTCTGTAGCTCAGACAGGACTGGAGCTCAATATGTAGCCCAGGCTAGCTTCAAACTCCTTCCCCAGTCTCTGGAGTGCTGGATTGCCGGACCCGAAACTCAGCTTCATCTTGTGCTTTTTGAAGGGGATCCTTTAAATTATCACTGGAACATAAGGAAAAGGACCAAGACTTTAAATCTTATCTGTTCCTGCCCTCATGTGGTCTATTGTGGCACTGCAGCCTCTTAACCCATTTGGAAGTTCCTATTATCACTGTGTTCAGACCCTTGTGATAATACTTTCTTATTGTAAATTTGCATTTATTAAACTTAAAACTCCAAAATTGATAATCCATAAGTTTTAAATAACTTGCATTATAATTTATTGTTATAATTTTTCTATTTTATTATTCTCAATCTTTCATTATATTCAACTTATAAGTTAAAATATTACATGGTTAGCAGTGGTGGCGTACTACTATAATTCTAGCACTTGGGAAGCTGAGGCACAAGGACTGCTCTGAGTTATGGGCTAGCATAGGCTACATAATTAATCCCAGGTTAGCCTGGACTAGAGAGTGAAACCTTGTCTCAAAAAAGTCAGACACAAACAAAAACTTGATCACAAGTATAAATATTTAAGAAACATACACTAGCACTTGGTACTATATATGATCTTGGACAAAAACAAAGAAGTGAAAAGTTAGCTGCAAGGGAGGACTCCATGATGCAGCTTCCAAGAGGTCATCTTCCATAACTAGGTGGGAATTTATTGGAAATTTATGCTATTTTGGTGCCATCCAGCCTTCTTTAAGTAATCCCTCACCTGTAATTTTTGTCGTTATTGCTTTTTTAGACAGGGTCCTACTATATAGCCCTGATTGGCCTGAAACTCTCTACATAGACCATGCTCGCCTCAAACTCACAGAAATCTGCCAGCCTCTGCTGGGAATAAAGATGTGTATCACCATGCCTGGCTTTTATTTTAACTCACCTCTGCTTCCTAAGCAGGATTGATAAACTCACTGATTCATAAAATAATAACAAGAAAACTTAGAACGGGGTAGAGTCTGAAGCTCTGAATCCAACCCCAGTACCATATAAAACTGGATATAGTGATGCATGCTTGTAATCTCAGCACTAGGAAGGTGGAGGCAGAAGGCTCAGAAATTCATGGTCATTCTTGGCTACATAGTAGAGTTTAGGGCCAGGGGTATATGAGACTGTCTTTTATAAATATGTTTAAAAAGGAAACACTAGGGCGAAGGAGATGGCTCAGTGGCGAAGTACTTACTGTGCGAGGCTTGACAACCTGAGTTCAGACCCCCAGAACCCACATGAAAACCAGCTATAGTAGCACAAGTGTCTGTAACTATAGTGTAGGCTTGCCAAGATGTGGGATGTGGAGGCAAGAGGATCATCAGAAGCTCATAAGCCAGCTAGCCTGGTATACAAAGGAGTGAGTTGTAGAGACCCTGCCTCAAACAAGGTGGATGTGGAAGCCGAGGACCAACACTCAAGGTTGTCCTGTGACAGCCACATGAGCACTAGGACACACACACACACACACACACGCGCATTTTCATTTTTAAGAGGATGTACTTCCTTGATATAAATCAGGAAGGAGGGGGCTGCGGAGGTGGCTCAGAGGTTAAGAGCACTGACTGTTCTTCTAAAGATCTTGAGATCAATTCCCAGCAACTACATGGTGGCTCACAGCCATCTGTAATAAGATCTGGTGCCCTCTTCTGGCCTGCAGGCATACATGGAGGCAGAATGTTGCATACACAATAAATAAACAAATAAATCTTTAAAAAAAAAAAAAGAAAAAAGTTCTAAAAAAAAATCAGCAAGGAAGGAATGCCCAGGTAGAAAACAGTCTGCATAACATACTACATTCTACAACCATAAAGGAATGAGAGAAAAGTCAAGGCAGTCAACACGTGCTAAATTCAAATGCTGCTTTCTTGAATGGTTGATATCACCTCCCACCTCCACCATCTGACTTTCCCAACCCAATCTCTACTTTCCACAGCACTCTGCAAATATTTCTCCAATACTAGAAATTAAAATACACTCTGGGATAGGAATGTAGCTCAGTTGGTAAGATATGTGCCTAGCACACATGAAATCCAGGATCCCATCCCCAGCATGGCATAAACCAGGAGGAATGACACATGCCTGTAATCTTAGCACTTGGCAGAAGGATCAGGAGTTCAAAGGCTTTATTGGCTATATATCAAGTTCAAGGCCAGCCTGGGTTACCTAAGACCCTGTTGTTAAATAAACAATATCATACAGTTCATTTGTATGAACAGTGGGTCTATAGACTCCTCAGGGACAGAAGAAAGTATCCATTCCAGGCTCCAACCCCAGCACTGACTATGTTACTCACCTGTCCACACACACAGACCACTGCGTACTCACCCCCAGAGAATGTGTGATTATCTCTTTAATAACTAACTCGTGACCATCTCTGTTGTTCCCTGCTGGAACCCCACCCCCAGCCTAATTTACCATACCAAAGAGGGGAGAGTGAAGGAAAATTGGATGCTTAAAAAGCCAGCAAGGCGGTAGCTTATGAAGAAAAGGTCCACGCTTGCCTCAATAACGCATATCTGGGGTTCTTCCTTATCACTATCCACGGACACCTTGGCTTGATTCATGACCCACTCCTGGATAGCATCAGTAATATGGGGGACAACTGCAGAAAAAGGAAAAAAAACACAGCAGGTTACTTCATGAGAAAGGAAGTATATGGACTTCCCAAATGACGTGAAAGCCACCAGGCAAACGAGACCAGCTGGAGATCTTGTGCCATTGTCTCCACCACTGGAACCAGTACGGACTGAAGAATTTAATTGTTTTCTTCCTTTTTAAATTTTACTTATTTTATGTATATGACTGTTTTTCCTGCATATATGCATGTCCATCATGCCTGGTGCCTTTAGAAGATAGAGGAGGACATTGGCTCCCCTGGAACTGGAGATATACACAGTTATTATCCACCTTATGGGTGCTGCAAACTAAACTAGGGTTCTCTGCAAGAAGAAGTGCTCTTAATTCCTGAGCAACCTCTCCAGCCCCCGATGATTTTCTTTTTGAGGCAATGGCTCATATAGCTCAGGCTGGCCTAAAACCTGCTTTGTAGGTAAAGATGACTTTGAACTTTTCCTGTCTCCACCTCTCAACTGCTGGGATTACAAGTGTGCATGCAGTTCATGAACTCAATAGTTTAAAACAATAATAATTATTGACGAGATGATCCGTGAGTAAGGGTGATTGCCAATAAGCCTGAAGACCAGAGTTCCACTCCCAGACCCCACAAGAGAACCAACTCTGCAGTTGTCCTCTGACTTCCACATGTGCGCCATGGCATGCAAGAATCCACAAAGATACATAGACATATACCTACAGAATAAAAATAAATGTAATAAAATAATAGCAACAAGGCCAGGGATAAGCCAGCACTCAGCAGACTGAAGCAAAATGATTGCCATGAGTTTAAAGCCAGTCAAAGTAAATTCCAGGCCAGCCCACTCCAGACTACTATATGAGACACTGTCTTAAAAAAAACAAGCCAGGTGGTGGTGGCACACACCTTTAATCCCAGCATTTGGGAGGCAGAGGCAGAGGCAGGCGAATCTCTGTGAGTTCAGGGCCAGCCTGGTCTACAGAAAAAGTTCCAGGACAGCCAGGGCTACACAGAGAAACTCTGACTCAAACGAAAACAAAAGCTGGGTGGTAATGGCATACACCTTTAATCCCAGCACACAGAAAAACACAATGGGCTGATTTGAATGTTTCCCACAGTCTTAGACATTTGAATACACAGTCTTAGACATTGGTCCCTAGTTGGTGGGACCTAAGAAGTGGGGGAAGCATGTCACTGGAGGTGGGCTTTGTGAGTTTAAAAGCCTCATACCATTCCCAGTATGCTCTTTGTGCTTCTTGATTGTTGCTCAAGGTGTGAGCTCTCAGCTTGCTACTCCAGCAGCCATGTGTACCTACTGCTTTGTGTCCCCCATCACATGTGATGGCAATGGACTCATATCTTTGGAACCATAAGCCCAAATATACTATCCAATAAGGTGCCTTGATCATGTTTTTATCACAGCAATAGAAAAGTGACTAATGGGGCTGGAGAGATGGCTAAGCAGTTAAAATCACCAGCTCTTCTTTCAGAGGACCTGAGTTCAATTCCCAGCACCCACAAAGCAGCTCATCACTATCTTTAACTCTAGCTCCAGAGGTTCCAACACCTTCACACAGACACACATTCAGGCAAAACACCAACAGATAAAATAAAAATAAATATTTTTTAGAAATCCTCCATTTGATCAGGAAAAATATACTTTATTTAAAAAATAAAATGAAAAAAGAAAAAAAGTGACTAATACACAGAGGCAGGTGGATCTTTATGAGTTCAAAGCCAACCTGGTCTACATAGCTAGTTCCAGGCAAGCCAGATCTACACAGTGAGACTCTGTCTCAAAACCAACAAAAATAAATAAAATCAGGACCTGGGGGTATAGCTCAGTTAGGGTTCTTGCCTAGCCTGCACAAAGCACTGGATCTGATCCATAACACCACATAAACTGCTGTAGTAGTATATGCCTATAATCCCAGCACTTAAAGAGGTGGAGGCTGGAGGATCATCACATTCAAGGCCATCCCTGGCTACACAGTAACTTAAAGGCTAGCCTGGGCTACATGAGACCCTGTCTCAAAAAAGAAAATTAAAAATATTATCTAGTAATAAAAACTGCTAAAAAGTATATTCAGGTACATTGACAAGGGGCACTGTTTATATTTCTGAGTAAAAAAGAAAAGAAAGCACAGATTTCAGGGCCCACAACCTTCTCATTTCTGTTAAATACAAAGTTTCCTCTGAATGATGCTTAGCACACAGGGTCCATAATGTTATATAGTAAAATACCTTGAACAGTCTCCCCCAGGAAATCACCACGCCTCTCCTTATTAATCACATGCTCATATATCTTCCCAGTGGTGATGTTGTTGTCCTTATAAAGATTAATGTCCAAGAATCTTTCATAATTTCCCAGGTCCAAATCAACTTCTCCACCATCATTTAAAACAAACACTTCACCTATGATCAAAATACAATGGAAAAATTAAAACTTACTTTGAACAGATTATTTTTCAGTCAGGCAAGAAAACTCATACCTATAATCCCAGAACTTGTAACACTTCGCGCACATGCACACACACATACAACAGATACGTGCGTGTGCATGCTTGCACACACACGTGTGTCAAAAGTTTGCAAAACCCCCTTATTTTTCGAATTGGAAAGAGTCATTTACCAATTTATTTTTAGAAATTAATTCTTAAGGCTGGACCATCAAAAGAGAAAGGGGGGAGGAAGGAAGGAAGGAAGGAAGGAAGGAAGGAAGGAAGGAAGGAAGACAGGCAGGCTCTTTGGGTATGGTAGCCTACAGTTCCAGATACTAGAAGAGTGAGTTAAAGGGATTGCTTGAGCCTAGTAGTTGGAAGCACACAACTCACCTCCAAAAAGGAAGGGGAAAAAAGTAAAACTAATGCAAGGTTTTATGCTACAAAACAGGACAGAAGATACCCTGAGACTTAAGGATCAAGAACAAGGGACACAAAAGGGATTTCACTATTTTCCTTTATAATATTTTATTATCATTGTGCTCGTGCATGATGGAGTGGGGGCTCCTGTGCCAAGGCTCACATGTGAAATCACTGGACAATTTTATGAAGTTGTTTATCTCCTTCTACCGTGTGATGGGTTCTGAGGAACAGTAGGATCATTAGGTTTGTAGTGTTGGGCAGCAAGCCACTTTACCCACTGAGCCATTTGGCCAGCCCCACAAAGGTGATTTTTGTTCTTTGGTCAAGGCTGGTTACACAGTAAGTTCATTTAGATAAAATTCATCATCAAAGCCATACATTTAAGATTTATGCACTTTTCTGCTTGCATCTAAAAAAGGTTTGAGGGCCTATGAGATGGTTCAGCGAGTAGGGGTGCTTGCTGCCAAACCTGACAATCTGAATTCAAACCTGAGACACACACACACACACAAAAGTAATAAAAATACAAGTAAATACCAAAAAATTAAAGTCTTAGCCAGGCGGTGGTGGCGCATGCCTTTAATCCCAGCATTCAGGAGGCAGAGGCAGATGGATCTCTGTGAGTTCAAGGCCAGCCTGGGCTACAAGAGCTAGTTCCAGGACAGGAACCAAAAGCTACGGAGAAACCCTGTCTCGAAAAACCAAAAAAAAAAAAAAAACAAACTAAAGCCTTTTATTTTGGTGTGTGATGTACGTATATGTTTCTGTGGATATTTGGCAATGTGGGCGCAAGTGTACAAGTAGGTGTGTACATCTGGAGGCCAGGGTGTCTTTTTCAATTGCTCTGCACCTGAACTCGTCTCCCACTGAAACTGGAAGGCATTCATTCTGCTAAGACCCATTTTTCCCCGCCTCAACAATGCTGGAGTTTCAGAAGCTCAACACGATGCCTGGCTTTTGGATGGGTGCTTGGGATACAAACACTTCTCTACAGTTATGTGGCACTTTGTTTTTGTTTTGAGATAGGTCCGAAGTAGCCCATGCTTGCCTTAAAGTTGTAGTTGTTGGCAGACAGGAAGGGTCTCCGTAGCCCAAGCTGGCCTCTGACTATGTAGCTGACTAGAATTGGCCTTGATTCCCTCCCTGAAGCCCCATTCTTCCTGTCTCATCTCTCAAATTATGGGATTATAGACATGTGTTACCAAACCTGGTATTAGTGATTTTTTAAAATAACTAATTATACTTATCAAAACGCCTGGTTGTGGTGACTTACACCTATAATCCCAGAACTCAGGGAGTTGAGATGGGAGGAAAACTATGAATCTGAGGTCTGCCTGAACTAGAGTGAATTTCAGGTCAGCCTTGGCTATAGTATGATCAAAAAAAAAATACGTCAGGGCCAGGGAGATGTCACAGTGTGTTTGTGTAGCACTGGCTACACAAGCCTAAGGACATAGTTCAGATTCCCAGCACGTGTGTCAATGCCAGGTAGGCACAATAGCCTGCCTATGATCCTAACACTCCAACACTCAGCACTTGGGACACAGAGACAGGAGATCCCTGCAAGAAGTTGGCTAGCTAGACTAGCCAGACCAACAGGCTCTGGGTTCAAATGAGACATCCCACCTCACAATATAAGGTGGAAAATAATCAAAGAAGACATCAGAGATCAACCTCCTTCTTTCCTCCACATCTATCACAATCTCAATCTCTCTCTCTCTCTTTCTCTCTCTCTCTCTCTCTCTCTCTCCCTCTCTCCCTCTCTCTCACACACACACATATATACATTTAACCACAGATGCACTCACTCATGTATGTATACCTACCAAACATGTCAATATTAATAACAGTTACTCCAGCAGGGGAAATGTTAAGAGAAATGTATTTTGTGATAAAAATAAAACAAGATATAGTCCATAGAAAGTGGTATGCCTCCATAAGACTTGACTATGTGGAATGTCATCACTGATCTGAAACATGAATCAAAAGCCTTAAGAACTTTCACACATTTCTATGGAATGATCCAGAAAATCTATTTTTGTAAGCCTATGCTAGAGAAATGACCCAAAACACAAGATAAGAGGATGGCTCAGCAATTCAGAGTATTTGTTGCTCTTGAAGAGAACCAGAGTTCAGGTCCCAGAGCAGCCACGACAGGTAGCTCACATCCACCTGTAACTCCAGCTCCAGGGGACCTTTCTCTTCCAACCTCTGTAGGCACCTGCATACACACGGCATCTACAGACACATATGCACGTAAATAAATATTTAAACACACACAAGAAAGCACTGCAAATTACTTTAGCACTTTAAAAAGAAAATATTCATTTTCATACCATGTTCATAAGGTGAGAAAGTCCCAGCATCGATGTTAATATAGGGGTCGATTTTGATGGCAGTAACTCGGAGTCCACATGACTTGAGAATGGTCCCAATGCTGCTGGCGATGATCCCTTTACCAATGCCTGAGATGACCCCACCAGTAACCAGGATATACTTCATTGGCGGGCAAATGGGTGGCTGCCAATACCCAAATGCAATCTGAGAAACAACCAAATTAAGAATCAGATTTGAGCTGGTGGCTCTTTAATCCTAGCACTTGGGAAACAGAGGCATCCCTGTGAGTTTGAGGGATGGCCTGGTCTACAGAATGAATTCCAGGAGAGCAAGGGCTACACACAAAGAAACCTGTCTTGGAAAACAAACAAACAAAAAGTCAGATCTGAAAAAATAATGGGCAAGGTAGCCAGTGCCTCTAATCCCAGTACTCCAAAGAGTGAAGCAGGAAGATAGTTTGGAGTTCAAACACAGATCAGTCTACATGAGTTGCACGCCCAACTGTGTTAAAGAATAAGACACAGTCTCAACAACAACATAAAGTTAGTTAGTATGGTGACTCAGTCCTTTAGTCCCAGCACTCAGGAGGCAGAACAGATATCCATAAGATCAAGGCTAGCCTGATTTACATAGCAAGTTCCAGGCCAGTTGTGGCTACAGAGTAAAACCCTGTCTCAAAGAATTAAAAAGAAAAACTAAAGAGGCCAAGGCAGGATTACCAATACTTTGAGTTTAATATGGGCTACATAGGGAGTACTAGGCCAGGCCAGGGCTACATAGCAAGACTCTGTCTTAAACAAAACCAAAAGCATATAAATAAATAAGAGTCCAAGGCAGCACCTAACCTGTACTCTCAGGAGACTGACACAGGAGGCTCACTGAGAGTTCTAGACCAACATTGGCTACAGCATCTCATATAGAGTAAAAAAAAAAGCCTAAGAAAAAGAAATGAAAGGGTCACAGAGTAGAAACCTTCTCTCATCAGTAGAGAGCATATCGAACTATAATTCCAAAAGTACATAGCATTTTTTTCTGTCTAAATGTTCAAACCTTTGGAAACCAGTTTTTTGGGTTTTGATTTTTCTTTGAGAAAGGGCTTCACTATCTATAGTAAACTTTCCTGGAGCTCATGTTCGTCCTTATCAATTCACTGAGTCCTGGAATTGCAGGTGCACACCACCACATCCAGTCTGGTGCTGTCAGGGTGGAGCAGGTGTACTTGCTGCTGTTGCTACCGCTGTTCCTGTTGTTTTCAAGACATGGTCTCATATAGCCTAAGCTGGCCTCCATTTCCCTGTGTAGCTAAGGCTGGCCTTGATCTCCTAACCTTCCTGCTTCCACCTCCCACATTCTAGGATTACAGACAGTATTATTTTGTAGGCTTCTTTTCTTTTCGTTATTTTTCCAGTTATCATACAAAGCAATGGGTTTTTGTTGTGACATTTTCATACACATGTATAATTACACTGCTTCTTTTTAAAATTTTTATTATTTTACATATATGGTTATTTCATCTGCATATATATCTATGCACCATGTGCATGTCTGGTGCCTGCAAATGCCTGGAACTGGAGTTACAGACAGTTGTGAACTGCCATGTAGGTGCTGGGAACTGAACCTAGGTCCTCTGGAAGAGCGGCCAGTGCTCTTAACTACTAAGCCATCTCTCCAGCTCTTACACTTTCATCATACTTGCCAACTACTACCCTCCCTTGATTCTGCGGCTTTTATTCCTACCACTAGACAGAAAACTAAGGCTATTTCCTACCAGGAAAGCAGCTACCTCTGTTCCCTTGACTTTCCATTCACTTCGATTCTGAACTGTACTTAGTTTTTGCATGACAAACTACATTTCCCTAAGATTTAGAAGCATAGGAAAATGTTTCCAGGCTGTGCAAACTGTATGTAGGCAAGGCAATTACACTTTCTTTTATCTGGAAAGTGGAATAAAAGTCTCAATGGTTTTAAATATATTTTGACCCTAAAAAAGAAATGAGCTCTCATCTCAGATAGGCAAGATGTATACCTGTAATCCCAGTACATGGGACGTTGAAGCAGGAAGATCAGGAATTCAAAGCTAGCAAGGACTACATGAGACTGTCGAAAAAGAAAAGAAATAACTTTGTTGCATGGGGGTAAATTGATATATAATGTAAATATTATGGAGACTCATCTATGTTTTTTCATGTTAAGAGGAAAATCTTAATTGTCCATTTCCTAATTTAGCAAAAAAATAAATCACCACGCTAGTATATGTAGGTGAGTGAATTGTGGACAATTGTTAGTTTTCTATATATTAAAAACAACATATCCCCTCTCTTTTTTGCATGTGCTTCTGTGTGCACACCCATGTATTCCTATCAATGGAGATGCATATGGAAGCCAGGGGACAACTTTAGATGTATCTTCATTTGAGACATGGGTCTCTCATTTGTCTGGTGCTCACCTATTAGGCTAGGCTGGCTGTCCAGTGAGCCGCATGGAATTTCCTATCTCCATCCTCCCAGAGCTAGAATTACAGACATGTGTCACTATGGTCAGACTTTTTATATGGGTTCTGGGGATCAAACTTACATCCTCATGTTTTCGAGGCAAGCACCAATTAGACCATCTCCCTAGCTCTGAAAGTCCTACAGAGTGACATCAGAGGACAATTTCCAGGCGTTACTTCTCTCCTTTCACTCTGTTTTGAGGCATGGTCTATATGCCACCACAGCCAGCAAAAAAAAATTATTACAGATTTCTTTTTGCAGGTTTTTTAGTACTGAGGATTGAATGCAAGGCCTCACACATGCTAGGCAAGCATTCTGGTACTGAGCTCCAGGCCCAGCTGCACTCAGCTTTTTTTACATGAGTTCTGGGAATTGAAACCAGGTCCTCAAGGCTTGCTCCAAAAGCACTTAACTAGCTTGAGCCATTACACTAGCCCCACACCTGGCTTTTATTGTTTTATGCAGTGCTGGGGACTGAACTCAGGGCTTCATGTATCCTACCTACTGAGTTACATGTCCATCTCAGTCCTTTCTACCCTTCCTAAGCAAATAAGTTTGGAAAAAAATTTAAGACTATAGGAAGGACATTCACATTTGCCCACACACATACATGTACACGTATATACATATACATAAATGCAATGTTTTAATTAAAGCAAAGTAAGAGGAGTTGGGCACATGCCTTTAAACTCAGCTCCCAGGACACAGAGGCAAGCAGATCTCTGTGAGTTTGAGGCTAGCCTGGTCTACAGAGCTAGTGTGGAACCCTCACCCCTTATTCTCAAAGAGACAAGAAGAAATTTCCTAGCAGAATGTTTTCCCAGGAAGATAGTGGCCTTCTCCTCTCCCACCTGGGAGATTCTGAGCACAAGGTCACTTAGCTCAGCCCAGCCAGCAACCTGGTTCAGGCTGATAAAGATGGCCTAACTCAAGAACAGTAGCCTTGCTATAAGAATAAGGAATAAGCTGACTTAGCAAGATTGGGGGGGGGGGCAAAAGTCCTTGCATCCATGCCAAAGCAGCTTCAAAGAGTCTCTTTGTAGTTATGCCTTTAAAAAGCTTACCCCACAGAGGAGATACAACTCCTCTCTACCTCGCTGTAACGGGGATGGAGAGGAGTTCCAAACATGTTTGTATTATGCTGATTAAACCTTGCTTATTACAGTCTGGGCCTCTCTGGTGGTCTCTCTCTGGGGGTCATAATCAGGGCACAACACTAGTTCCAGGACAGCTAGAGCTGTTACACAGAGAAACTATCTTGAAAAAAAAAACAAAGAGATGCCATAAACAATAAATATATATTTTCCTTTTGGTAGCCTAGTCTGGCCTTGAACTCAAAATGTAGCCATGGGAAACCACCACCATCCCTGGTTTACATAGTACTGGGATCAAATACAGTATTTCCTGCAAACTATAGACAAGCACCCTACTGCCTCAGCTACATCATCATTCCATAATAATAATCATAATAATGATGATGATGATGATGATTGATTTTTGAGATGAGGGAATCTCACTCTGTAGTCCAGGCTAGCCACCACATCACTGTCCTCCTCCCTGAGCCTCATGAGTGGGAGCGCTGGGAGTCACCTCCCTGAGATCTTACAATATTTTTGAGCCCAACAAGTTCAAAATTGTAATCATTGTTTTCGAGTGCTGGTGCAGGCCTGAATCCAAGCACTTGGGATGTGGAGATTAGAGAATGAGTTTGAGGCCAATTTGAGCTACGTAAGACCCTGTCTCTCTTTTTTTTTTAATGAGCTCTACATTTTTCTCTGCTCCCCTTTCTTCCTCTCCCCTCCCCTTCAACCCTCTCCCATGGCCCCCATGCTCCCAATTTACTCAGGAGAGCTTGCTAAGACCCTGTCTTAAAGGAAAGAGAAACGCTGTAATGGATGCTGCAATCTACTTGTGAGCTTCATGTCGCCAGCTTTGCACTAAGCCTTGGGGGAAAACATGCACATTATTAACGCACATCTCATTTCCAACCTGCCAAACATATGTGGCTCCATTCCACCGTGCAGGCCTACAGCAACAGAAACACCCAAAGACACCTTTCTAATGCTGTTCATTTTTAAAGTAATGTAAATCAGACACAAAACAGTACTTACTGGATAAGTCCGTTTTATGATGTTTGTGACTGACAAACTAAGCCAAGACGATGATCATCAAAACTGATTAGAAAAGGGGCACCAAGGACCTTTGTGGGTTGGCTAAACCCCACAGACTCGAGGTGAGGTGGAAAATTTATTGGGCATAAAGTACAAGGCGGCCTCCCCCCAGGCGGTAGTGTTCGGTACGCTGAGGCCAGCTAAAAGGGTTGTTGTTTAACCTGTAAGCTGAAAGCTGACTCAAAATCCGAATCATCCCTGCAGGCGGTTTCGTTTCCGCTAACGCCATCTCGGGGATCCACAAACGGGGGGGGGGGGGGGGGGGGAGTAGGGCTTGGGGGTGCGGAATCCTGTGAGGAGAGACACACCCCAGGGACGCGCCGATTTGGACCCCAAGTCACTGGCTACTGCTAGGGAACAGGCTACAACGGCACTGGGAGCAAGTGGGCGTCCCCTAGTCCCAAAGGCTTGCTGGATCTCTCAGGTTTTCAAGCACTATGCAAGAAGCGAATGGCTATGGGCCGGGCGTGGGCACCAGCGGGAAAGGGACAAAAGCATCCAGGCACCAAGTGTGCTCCTGGCAGGGCCGAAATGGCCCCAGGGGAAATATGGTGGTCTGGGCACTGAGGCCCGAGGGGTTTCGGGGAGGCCCAAGAAGGGAGTTACCTGTGTAGTGGCCAGGGCGCCTTGGAGTGTGGCTCACGCAGCTCCACCCAGCGGCCAGCAGGACCCAGCGCTCACCTGTCCTGCGGGAGCAGGGACCTCATCTAGGGTGCTCTAGTCACCACTCGGTCCTGCCCTCCCCAGGGACTGAGGCACCCTCTTCACCCACCTTCCCCTCGCGGTCCCGCAGCCGGCCCAGCTGACTCACGCTGGCTGTGAAAATGGGGGTGCTGCAGCAGTGGGTTCCAGCGATAGTACAAAAAAAAAAAAAAAACAAAACCAAAAAAAAAAAAAAAACAAGCGCCTAAAAAGTGTTTCCTACCGCACAGGCAGCTCCCATCACCCTCCACTCTAGACGCCCTTGGCCCCAGGCCACGCTCAGCCTGGGCCTGCCCCTCCCTCCTGTAGCGAGTGAGCTTCAGCCCAGCCTCTAAAGAATGCTCCTGGACAGCTCAGAACCTGGCAAGCAGAACCCCTTGCTCCGATTCTCCCGCCAACTTCACTCACCACAAATGCTTGGCCGTGACCCTACAGTGAAGCCCAGAGGCCAACACTGCAAAAGCTGGGAAAGGAGAAAAACAAAGCAGAATTGTTGCCTAGGGGCTCACCGCCCATCTACGTGTCCATCAGTAAATGTACTTCCTTAGCACAAAGTAAGAGAGGAGGAGCAGAGGAAAGTAGGAGAGAAGGCTTCCAAAGTGACTTAGGGGGAGTGTTTAAAAGATAAGTGTGGTAAGGGATGCCGGAGGTTGTTTCAGGTAAAGAAAAGGAGAAAACAAGTGAAAAGGAAAAGGGTCTAACTAGACACAGATTTGAAGGGAGCTGAAATTTTAGGGAAGCCGTGAAAGTATTGTTTCTTTGGTTGTTTTTGTTATCCCTTTGGGGTTTTGTTGGTTAGTTTCTTTTGGTTTTTGAAATAGGCTGGGGGTGTACATGTAGCTCACTTGGTAGAGTGCTTTCCTAGCAAACACAAGATCACATATATTGTCAACATACAACACCGATCTGCCATGATGGCATATATTATTATTATTATTATTATTATTATATAGCAGCAATGGAAGGTAGAAACAAGAGGATCATAAATTCAAGATTCTCTTTGGGTACTTAATAAATTCAAGGCCAGTCTGGGTTATGTGAGACCTTACCAATAGAAAGAGGTCCACCCTGGCCGACCTGAAGCTCTATATGTAGAAGACCAGGCTGGTCTCAAGCTTAAAGAGATCTCCTTTACCACAGGGCAGGGAAATCTGACTGCTCTTTGGGCTGGAGAGGGAGGGGGAGAGGAGTGGGGGGAGGGGGAGAAGGGTGGGAGGAGGGGGAGGGAAATGGGAGGCTGGGAGGAGGAGGAAATTTGTAAAAAAATCAGATAAAAAAAAGAAAAAAAAAGAGATCTCCTGCCCTTGTCTCCCAAATGAATAGCCAGAATAAAGCAAAACTCACACAAGGGTTACTTGAAGACCTAGTGGAGTTTAGAAAGACAATTGTGAATTGTGTACTGATGGCCAGTTATAATCTATATAAACACAGGTGTGCTAAAACCAGTCTGCTGGTGGTGTCAAGTAGAAGGCCAAAGGTCAAATCCTAGAATACAGACAGAAATCGGTCAGATCCTGCTGGGCAGGGAGAAAGGAAGGAGAAGGGCCTGAAGACAGCAAAAGCACAGAGGAGTTTAGCAGCAAAGGCTGTGATATTGAAGGTCAAGATTTCAAAGGAAAGCCAGGCTTGGTGGAACACATCTGTCATCCCAGCACTTGGGACTAGGAGAAAAGCAAGTTTAAGGTCAGCTTGGGATACACAGCAAGTTCCAGGACACTTGCGGATACATATCGAAACCCTGTCTCTAATTTTAAAAACTAGAGGACTGGAGAGATGGCTCAGTGGTTAAGTACTTATTGCTCTTGCCGAGGACCCAAGTTCAGTTCCCAGCACCAGGAAAATCCCACTCTTCTAGCCTCTTACAGCACTTGCAGCTGGCATCTGCACACACCAACCCACTGAAAAACTAGAAATAAAAAAATATCTATAGAATAAATAAATAAATAATGGAGGAGGGCTGAGATGGCTCAGTGATTCGACACTTACCATACAAACCTGAGGACTTGAGTTCAGTTCCTGGGGCCTATATGTTGGAAGGAGAGAGCTAACTCCCCCCATGATGTCCTTTGACTTCCACATGGGGGCTATAACACACACACACACACACACACACATGCACACACCCACACACACACACACTCATACATGCACACCTCATACACTCTCAATAAAAATTAAAATAAATTTTTAAAAAGGGTGTGGGGTTATAACTCACTTGATAGAGTACCTGCCTAGCATACATGAGATCCTGCATTTGATTTCCAAGTACCACATAAAGCCAGTGTGGTAGTACAGGCCGTATTCTTAGCATTTGTGAGATAGAAACAAGAGGATAAGGAGTTCAAAGTCATCCTCAGCTACTGGTGAGCTTGAAGCAAAGTGGGGTTACATGAGAACCTGTATCACCATGAAATAAATAAATAAGAGGCTGGAGAGATGGCTCGGTGGTTAAGAGGCTGCTCTTCCACAAGACTCAGATTCAATTCCCAGCACCCACATGGTGGCCTAGAACAGTCTGTAACTCCAGTTCCATGGGATATTACACCTTCTTCGGGCCTCTGCAGGCACCAGACATGAAAGCTGTGCACAGAAATATGGAAAAAACACCAACACACATAAAATAAAATAAATATTGGTATTCTGTTAACAATAGCTAGGAAATGGAAACAACCTAAATGTCCTTCAAGAGAAACATAGAAAAAACGAGAGGTAAATGCAGAAGAAGGAGGGTGGGGACTAAAGTCATAAAGCATCATATTTGATGGAGGAAGGTCATTGGTTAAGTAACAAACTGCTTGGCCTCGTAGGTTAAAACATAGGTGGGAGGAGTAAACAGAACAGAATGCTGGGAGGAAGAGGAAGTGAGCTCAGAGACGCCATGCTCCCCTCTCCCGGGAAGATGCGATAGCTCTGCTCTCTGAGGCAGATGCAGCCAGCCACCAGGTCAGACATGCTGAATCTTTCCTGGTAAGCGCACCTCATGGTGCTACATAGATTATTAGAAATGGGTTAAGAGGCTGAAACTAATGGGCCAGGCAGTGTTTAAAAGAATACAGTTTGTGTGTTGTTATTTTGGGGCATAAGCTAGCCAGGCGGCCGGGGTGCCGGGGACGCAGCCCCACCACTCATATTACAACACATATTATTATCTACCTAAAATTATACATAATACATTTGAATCTGTCATCATATTATTATCTACCTAAAATTATACATAATATATATGTCTGTCTATACATATACAGTTTAAGTGAAAATTTTCCATCTGGGCTAATAACATTCCCTCCAAGAGCCATAGACCATCTAACAAAAAACTCGGACAGCAGGCATGAAAAGCCCCCTTTTGAATCATTGGTCCAGGTGGTACAAGAGACTCCTAAAACATTATAAGCTATTGATGTTGCCCTTGGTTGCCTCTCAGAGGAGAAAGATAAATCCTTTTTGATGAAGACACAGTGAGCTTCAAAAACAGGGTCCAGAAATCCCTGAGCAGGATCTGACCTAAAGCTTCCTCCCTGAGGACCAGCTTTCATGGTACCAGAAAATGTGCCATGCAAGCTTCCAAGGGAGGGAGGCACCAACAGTCCCACTCAGCTATAACACCTATGAACCACAAGGACCAGCAAGGCACAAGAACCTAAGGGTAAGGGAGTGGCACATGCTGGTGGTAACCAGCAGCTGTCTAATTGAACTCAAGAGCCATTCAACAGGAGGGAAATCATACCTGATACTGGAATCCTAGCCAACCACCTGAGGCTAGTAAAGTCATGGGTCTTGGAGGAGAAACTACAACCACTGCTTTACAAAAAAGAGGGGGAAGCATCATCCCTAACTACATCCTAAATATTTATCCTTATACCCGCAGATTAAGTTTAGTTTTTACCCTTCACCAAGAGAACGTCTCTTTACAAAAGCAGGAGAGCATTACGGAAAATGACAAGCAACTGTAGAGAACAAGAGGTCCTGCGGTGGTAAGTGCCAACCGATACATCACCAACACAATTCCTACCCCTAAGGTACAGGGATCACTTTGAAAGAGACTCTGAAAGACTCTAAGGGACAAACAGGAAATTTCCTGTAAGATTCTGTCTCCTAGAGATGTCAGAGGGGCCTGTACCCATGAAGTCTCACCTACACAGCTGCCTTAGCAGGACCTGAATAGCAATGACACCAATGGAGATGCTGTCGTGGGGGAAGAAAGCTCAGGGAATCTCAACCCTACACAAAGAACTACAGGCTACTGGGACATTTAGAGAGTGGGAGAAATGGTCTTCCACAGGAAGAGCACCCAATTGGATATCCAATACCAAGTTGTCAGCCCTAAGATGAGATACATACAGGTAACATTGTACAGATGGGACAGGTTGTATTTCTATATTTATGAATATATATATATATATACATATTTAGGAATATAAAATATATATAAATATATTTAGGAATATGTAAGAAAAAAGAAAACAAGGCCATGAATTTGCTATATAATGAGATCCTGTCTAAAAATGAATAAAAATAAATACAGTAAAACAAATTGGCTCACTGGGTAAAAGAATTTGCAGCACAAATCTGGCAATCTAAGTTGAATCCTCTGAGTCCATAAAAGAGGTGGAAGGAGTGTACAAACTACATAAAAGTTGTCCTCTGGCATGGTGCATATACACCTAAACACACATATCATATACATACACTATAATCATTTTTAAAGTAAATATAAGTAAATAAAGATTTAAAAGGAGAAACAAGTCTAAAGATGAGAGACAGTTTAGGGGAAACCAGATGAAATATAATAGAAATTTGAGATAAATGGCCAAGGAAGTGGCTCAGCAAGTAAAGGAATCTTTGCCACCAAACCTGTAGACCTGAGTCTAATCCTTGGGACACCCATAGCAGAAAGAGAGAACTTATTCCTGAAAAATTACCCTCTGTCATCCCTCCAGGAGCCATGGCATGCCCACAAACACAAAACAAAATCAATTTTTAAAAGAAAGGAAATTGAGACAGGGATGGGGCTTATGGAGTTGTGGGGTGAGCAACAAGAAGACTCAAGGAGCTTACAGCACAACCTGACAACCTGAGTTCAACCTCCAGAACCCACCTGACCTATACACACATCCCTTGGTAAACACACGCCCCCCCACACACAC